GCCAGTTTTTTCCATGAATACAAACTCATGGATTCTCTCTCATCAGTTCCTCCGTCGATCGTTCTTCTTCCTAGAAAGCTTCTCCGCCGCCACCACCATCAGCAGCGAATCTCCGCTGGAATTGGAGAAATTGGTATTGGAGAGAACGTAATTTGGAAGCTTTGATAGCAGAAGCTTGTTGCTCTTCTGTTGTTGGAGCTTTGCATGGTCTTCCGTGCATTTTATTTTCACACACAATTAACATACAGATGAGTTATCAGGGGAAGTTTTTGCTTTGGTTTTAAGGAATTCTCTGCAAAGTTGCAATTTAGTTGTGTGGTGGTTTTGAATAAATGTTAGATGTGATCTGCAAAGATGTGATCTGCAAATTGTAATTTTTTCAATTGGTTTGTTCTCGCATAACGTTGCTTTCTATTGCCGGAATGGTATCACAGTAATGGGAACAATGACGTTTCGAGTCAGAATCGCGGCCCTCTCGACGAGACGGCATTAGGGTTGTTCTTGAACAAAGACGACGGAGTTTGGGGCTGAGCAACTTGAAGATTTTGTTACCTTTTTTTAAGTGTATTTCAATGTATCTCGTTGTATTTTCATGTGTTTTGTTGTATTCATTGTCTTTTTTGTCATTGTATTTCAGTGTATCTCGCTGTATTTCATGTATTTTGTTGTATTCACTGTCTCGTTATATTCCATGAATGTATTCATATGTTTTTTTAATTAATATAATTAATGTATTCAGATGTATTATATAATTTCTCTGAAGATTGCTATGTTTTTGGGGTGTTTTTCGGTTGAGAATCTTTTTTATAACTAGAAATACAAATTTTGTGTGTTATAATTGAGTTTGTTGAGTTATATTAGGAGTCTATTATGTTAATTGATTCGCTTTCCGTTTAAAAACAGTGTAATCCCTGCTTCACACCATGAATACAGTCGAATACACTCGAATACAAAAATCTATCTAGCTGTAATCCCCTGTTTCATGCCTAGAAATGCTACTGTATTCATGAATACAGTAGCTTAAATACACCGAATACACTCTAAAAAATCAGTGAAAATATAGTTATAGAAAGTAATATAGTAAATGATAGCTACAACTAGCTAATAACCATTAAAACATAGTGGTTTCTGAAAGTTTCTCAATATTCAAACCACCGCTTAATGTATCCTATTTATGTACATTTTTTTCCCAACCTATTTATGTACATCACTTACTAATTTTTCTTGTATTTGTATTAAGTCTAGATCTTTTATATTTAAACTATTATTATTTAAATCTAAACAAGTTTTTTTTAAATAAAACAGAGATTTAAATTCTCTCCATCTCTATTAAAAATTATCAAACTCTATAGATTCTTTTTCCATTTATAATTCTTCGTAGAAGGAGACAATCCTCTTGACCCAAGTCCGGTCCCCTTCAACAATAACCCCTTAAGAAATTATATTGCGATGCAATTCTAATAATTATTTGATAATTTATATATTGTTATGAAATACATATTTATATGGATGTCCACTAATCAAATATAACTCCCACTACTCTTCTCTATTATGTAGATAACCCCCACTACTTCTCACCATTATTGTTGTAACTCCCTCACCTCCATAACCTCCCCATGATCTTCCTCCATGATCTCAAATGTTTAATGTCATGTTTATGACATTCTTTTGTATGCCTCTATGTAATCCTATAAATAGAGGGTTTTGGCATCACAATGTACATACTTGAATACATGGAAGAAATAAGAATCTCTCCTCCCTTGCTCCCTACATTCTTGTCTATTTGCTTGTTTTATATTATTACTTTGAGCTAAGTTTTGTAACACGTTATCAGCACGAGTCTCTATCCAATTGAGTTACTACATCTACAAAATTGTCTTACATCGGAAAAAGCATATGTCTGTTGTGCCTGATATTCCTTTGGAAGAGATGAGTTTTTCTTTTCTATTTAGCAATTTTAAATAATGGTATGAAATATAATAAAAGGAATAACAAGGTTGAGGAGACTGGTACATCGTGAAAAGGCATATAATGCTAAGATACGTTTTCTAATTTTTTTTTAATTAATTCATTTTCTTGTTAGTATTTCTCAAAGGTTCTTTATTTGTCGGGAAAGTTTCCAATACTAAGTATTACTTTGTAAAGTTGAAAATACTTAGATGTAAATTAATTTCTACTTCATGTTTTTCTTTTTAATATTTATTGTAAGTTTAGTCTAATCTCTTTCACCTAATGTTCAGGTTAGATGTTATATGAGAATCAGAAGCATATAATGATGCAGCTAAATGTTACATACTAAACCAGAGACCAAAGATGTACATAAATTAAGGAGCTACGCCAGCTTTTGCAAAGTGATTTGAAGAACTTTGATTCCTTTGTTACCAGTAAATAGATACTTATTGTGTAACACATATATGAGTTTATTTTTATAACTATTAAAAGTAGTATACCATGAAAGTCTCAAGGGTGAGTCTACTTTGGCATATTATGCCATTAATTAAGGATAAGACGGTGGGTTCAAGTCCCAACGCACCATGAGGGTAAGACATCGGGTTTTGAGTCCTGATGATCCATGATTGTAAAAGTTGGGTTCGAGTCCCAACTCATTATGGCCTAACATGTCTTTATATGGGTAGGCATTGGGTTTGAGTTCCAATGCACCATATGGATGACATAGTGATGACTAAAGAAAAATAATGTATTTTTCATGGAAAAGCATGAATCTTGTCCCACTTGATTTGCACCATTCTTGAAGTAAATGTGGTAGCAATGCATAATAAGTAAATGAAGACAAGTGGTTGACCAATGAACATGGGCGTGCCATTGATCAAATAATAATAGTCATCATTGTGGTAATTGTAAAAATGAGAACAATAAGGGTTCTCGAAGTAATCCTTCAATAGGTGAAGGAAATATTTACCATCAAATTGGTATGAAAAATTTATAAAGCACGTCGCGATAATTATACTCCATTCTTTGAAGAGAATGTGACTTGTGCATTGAGAATGCAGATTCATTCCTGAAGGTGAATGTAACAATATGTGATAAAAGTAATGAATAAAGACGTGCAATGCATGATTGGATACACACCACAATTCACCTCTAAGGGAGGTTTGAGAGAAAGAGAGATAGTGAATATTAGTGTGTGATTACATGAATATGTCATTGGTCGCGTACATGTGGTACGCCAAAAATAATTTGACATGCCTTATAAAAAGTTATTAAAAGCAAAAGTAAAGCAAGAAATGATTTTGCTTATGATGATTTTGACCATGACAATTATTATGATATGATTTTCTCCGTGAAGGAGACATTCACCATACGGATGGTGTGACAAAAGATATTATAGTACAAAATCAATTAAGAGCTCCGGAAGAGCTAACTTGTTACTACCCGGATGAATGAAATTATTCATGACATTGATATTGTAGTAAGTCTCAAAAGAAACTTTTTGAGTTTCAAATGTATTAGCCAAAGTGGTTGGCATATTGAGACTATAAATGAAAGGAAGATTGAATATCTTTATATGGATAACCCCCACTACTCTTCTCCATTATGTAGATAACCCCCACTACTTCTCACCATTATTGTTGTAACTCCCTCACCTCCATAACCTCCCCATGATCTTCCTCCATGATCTCAAATGTTTAATGTCATGTTTATGACATTCTTTTGTATGCCTCTATGTAATCCTATAAATAGAGGGTTTTGGCACCACAATGTACACACTTGAATACATGGAAGAAATAAGAATTTCTCCTCCCTTGCTCCTTATATTCTTGTCTATTTGCTTGTTTTATATTATTACTTTGAGCTAAGTTTTGTAACATATATATGAATTTGGTGAAAATATTTGGTTATTTTTGCGTAAAGAAAAAGATCTCAAAAGGAATTTTTTTACATTATATAATGTTATGTCATGTGGCATCTTTATGTTGGAAAACTAATTCAAAGTTGTAATAGAAAACCTTAGATATTTAGAATTTGGTTATTTAGTTCATGTCTAAATATGATTTGCAGTTAGAATAAATATAGGAATTCGTGTTTCTAATTGAAATATGTTTTGTACTATTATAAATATGGGTATTAGTAACTTATTTTATTATGTGAATAAAATAAAAAATTGATGAAAATTTATGAGAATTGCAGAGAACTTTCAGAAATTTATAAATAAAATATTTTTCCTCACTTTATAACCTCCCAGGTCGACTTAGTGGAGAAAACACTCAAAATTGTAGGTGTCCATGTATCTCATGGTGTTATGTCAATCTGGCCTTAAGTGGATTACCGTCTTCATTCAATGGCTATAGAAATTACTTATTCCACCCAAAATAAAACAGTTGCTATGGCTTTGGGAGAGACTACCTACAGCTATAATTTTTTATCACATAGATACTTTGAGCTGTATTTTTTCCATCACATACCTTAAGTGCATTTTATAATCACAATTTAGACCTCTTTGTATGAAAACTCTTGTAGGTAGTCTCTTTCATATCTCCTTGTATAATTTTTTTTTAACATTTTAGCCGTATAACTTTTTTGTACACTTGTATATCTAGTTCAATATAATGACAACTTAATCTCCAACATTCCCATAATCCCATTGCGTTTTGGCTTCTAAATTTAGTTTGAGCAGCTGATGATTGGAAGCTTAATATGCGTTGTCTCTGGTTCATCACCAATCATCAAGCATACCTCTCGCACTACTAGAAAAATCTTAATTTCTGACCGAAATTTGAGATTGAATATATAATGGTCGCTAATGCGACTGCAGTAGTCGGAAAATGATTTTAATTTTATTACCTATTTTCCTAAAATAATATTGACTGCTATTCTGATTAAAGCAGTGGAAAAACAACGCAGAAATTTCCCGCCTTCACATTTGCGACCGATTCAGTCGCAAAGTGAAAAGTCAAAAAATATGTTGACCCAATAAAATTGGCTGTGCCGGTCGGAAATATAAAATTTAAACAAAAAAAATATATTTGACACTTTGCTACCGCGATAGTCGGAAACCCAAATTAAAAATTAGACACGAGATCCCTATTTCCCCAATTTCTTTCACAATCTCTCTCTCTATATATATATATATCTTTTTCCTCTCTACTTTCTCTTTCACTGACCAATCGACTGACGGGGCAAACAGTGGTTGAAGACGGCGGCAAACGGTGGTTGACGACGGCAAGCATCAGTGCAAAGATCTGTGAAATCCCCTCTTCTCGGTTGGTTTCTCTCATTCTTATAACCTAGAAACTTTGTGGGTTTGGTCATCTAGTAAAATTTTGAATTTCTTAACAAATAATTTCACTTGCATTGGTATTATCAGTTAAAGAAGTAAAAAACATTCTGTAACTTTGCTTTATTTCTGTCTTTGTTTATGCGTTTCTCTTGCCATCACACTATAATTGTTGGTTTAAGTTGTACTTGGATTTAGAATTTCTCTATTTTACTGTGTTATGTGTGTTTTCCTTTGCTATTTATGTGTACTCGGTATTTCATTAGGCAATGCCTCTGATAAATTGAAAAAATTAGTATGACTATAAGAATAGCTGCACGACAATTGGTGTTGTTGTTGGTAATTGGGTTAATCTTACTGGCTAAGTCAGCAACAAGTTGACCTAGTATACTGGAGCAGCACATTTGCCCTAAGGTTTAATTCTTTGGTTCAATGACTTTGGAAAATAGTTGGTTATAAATAATTTTTGGTACTATTTTTGGATAGGTCTTAGGGAAGCATTGTTAGCATTGTTGCTGAGAATGTGGAAGACAATAATAAATATTTTTGTAGAGAAGATCGATGCTTAATGTAACGACCCGACCGGTCGTTTTGCTTTCTAGAATTCCATCCCCCTAAATAAGACTCCCCATACTTGCTTTTACTGATTCATGACTTGCGGGGATGGTTGGTTCGGGATTTGGAAGAGTTCGGGTTGAAATTGGAACACTTGGTTCCTTAAGGTTGGCCTAAAAGACCAAGTTTGACTTCGGTCAATATTTTGAGCAAACGACCTCGAAATCGAGATTTGATGGTTCCAATAGGTTCGTATGATGATTTCGGACTTGGGCGTATGCCTTTTTCGGGTTTTGGATGAACCAGGAGCGTTTTGGCGCCTAATAATGAAAGTTAGTTCTTGAAGAACTTTGAAGTTCTTTAAATTTGGTTTGGAGCAGGTTTTGGTGATATCGATGTTCGAATTGAATTCCGAGATCGGGAATAGTTCCGTAATATCATTTAAGACTTGCATGCAAAATTTGGTATCGATCCGAGTAGTCTAAGTATGATTCGACGCATTCGGCGAATTTGGAAAACTTGAAGTTCAAAGTTTGATTAAATTTGGTTTTGGGGTGTGATTCTTGGTTTCGTTATTTTTTTATGCGTTTCGAGAGTTCGAGCAAGTCCGTATTATGTTTATAGACTTGTTGGAGCTGTTAGACAGGGTCCCGAGGGGCTCGGGTGCGTTTCGGACCACCCGGAGGTGAGATGAAACACACCAGATTTGCTGCTTCTGGTTTCCTTCTTCGCGGACGCGATCGCACCCTCGCATTCGCGATGAAGGATTTGGGGTGTTGTGGCTGGGGAGCTTTTTCCCTTCGCGTTCGCGTGCTGAGGACCGCGCTTGCGAAGGTTTGAGTCCTCTAGCCTTCGTGTTCGCGTGACCTGGCTCGCGTTCTCGTAGAGTAGAGTAGCTGGGCTGGGCCAGCGTTGTTCTTCGCATTCGCGAGTGCATTGTAGCGTTCGAAATGGAGGGCCTTCAGAGGGCCTGAGCCAATGGCCTTAGCAAGCGCGAGGCCCCTGTCGCATTCGCGATGAAGGGGGCAGCTGGGCAGTGAGCTTAAAATCGGGACTTAGGCATATTTGGGGTCATTTATTGCATTCTTGGGCGATTTGGGAGCTTCAAAAGAGGAGATTTCGACCTAGCCTTGTGAGGTAAGTAATTTCTACCTAATGTGAGTTTAATATATAGTTTATGGGTAGATTACAACATGTAAATTAGTGGAAATTATGGGTTTAGAGTAAAACCTAGATTTTTGATATAAATAAGATTTAACCACGAAATTTGTTATGGAATGTAGTAAAAACCATATATTCTTGATCCTAAGGTTATGGGTAACTACTTTCTTCGAAAATTTTCGGAATCCGGGCACGTGTGCCCAGGGGTGAATTTTAGGAATCTTGTAATATGGGTTGGATAGTCACTCTAATAGAGGCAATATGAACTTTTGAGCCTATATTGATTAGTTTCTACTTTATTTGGATAGTTTTGGATTGTTTGACACCAAATTGAGGGTTTGGGCTTAAGCTTGGACCGGAAAGTAGCCCTTGAAGCGAGGTAAGTCTCTTTTCTAACCTCGTGGGAAGAAAATTCTCCCATAGGTGAACTAAATTAATATATGATTATTTGTGGGGGCTACGTACGCACGAAGTGACGAGAGTCCGTACGTAGCTACTATTCTTGTTATGTACGGGTAGTTCTAGGCTTACACCATGCTTTGTGGATACCTTTATCTGAACATATTTTGTTGGTTTGGATTGAATAAAACTATGTTGAGAATTCTAAGATTTCAAAGGGTTTCAAGTAAATCATTATTTTGAAAAGAATTGAGAAGAATTTTGTTATATTTATATTTAACCGCGTCGCAAGTAATTTTTTCGCGAGCGGGGTGACTATTTCCACTACTCTCATGGGAGCGGGCCGTTCGCCTCGGCAGATTAATAGATGCATCTATGGTTTGCGACATTCGACCCTCTGGCAGTGCATATTTTATTATTATGTTGGATCGAGCCATATGACCTCGGCATAACTTGCACATGCTATTTATTTGGACTTCCTGTGATTTGTATTGCTTTAATGCATTGAATGTAAATTGTTAAATGAATTGACTGAAATTGATACCATATTTATGAAAGAAGAATTTATCACTTCCTGATGTTGAGCTTTCAGTATTATTTATGATATCCATGCTTAGTATAATACTTTAATTATATTATTGTTGGCCCTAGTAAGTGTCAAGTCAACCACTCGTCACTACTTCTACGAGGTTAGACTGGATACTTACTAGGTACATATTGTTTATGTACTCATACTACGCTTTTGTACTTAATTGTACAGGATCTGAGGCAGGCGCATCTAGTTATCCATCAGGCGCGCATGCTTGATCCCCCAACTTGAGACTTCACGGTGAGCTGCCTTCTCGAGCCATTTTGCAGTAGTTGGAGTCTCTTCTATGTCTTTATTTTCTGTCTATTTCCTTTCAGACAGTAGGATAGCATGGTTTTGTATAATCTACTAGATTGCTCACATACTTGTGACACCGAGTCTTGGCACACACACTAGTAGACTTATGGTTTTGGATTTGTTTACATGATTTCGATGTTCACTTATCTACTCTCGCTTTAGTTGTGTTTCAATTGAAATTTCTAAATCTTTTAATAAAATGAGAAGATAATATCCACTTATTAACTTATTTAAACGGAAAGCTACTAGCTTGTTAAGTGTTGGCTTTCCTAGTAATGGTGTTGGGTGCCATCACGGCCTGTAGTAGAATAGGGCCGTGACACTTAAAATTGGCCGAGGAGTAGTTGGGAAGACGAAAGCATGAAAAACACAAAGGGGGTGAGTGATTAATGATACATACAGTGGTATTTTTAAAGGTAGAGAACAGTGACAAGGTTTAATTGTTTGGTTCAGCACATTTGACCTTCCCTAAGACACATGAACGAATAATTTGTACTCCTTTTATCCCTATGTGTATAAATTCTTCCCATTTTTGAGATTCTCCAGTAAAGAGATTTAACAGTTTCAAGAGGCGGCTCGGCTTACTGTACAATCATGGAGAATACTACCATATCAAGGTGAAATGACTCAAACTCATGGCCATCTATGCCTCTAAAGTTTGATACCATCTCACTAGTAATACTAATATTATTCTATATAATTTCCACAAACTTGCAAAATGTAAATTTATTAAAACTGGCTGAAATTTCAATGTGATGCTTAAAAATTTAATAATGATTTAATATTTTCCTGTGTCACTCCTAAGATAATAAAGAATATAAGAAAGAAGTCGAATTTACATTTTAATATTTGTGTGTAGTCATGTTAAGGTACTATATAATATCGAAAGAAATATGTTAAGCAAATCCTGTCTTATCTTATTTCTAAGTTTAGCCACCAATATAAAATAACAAGCAAGAAAGTTTACAATGCTTGTCTATATAAGGACTTATCTCATTCATGTGCTCCCTCCAGCTGACCTACTACTAATTAATCGGACTTTCTATATTGATGGTACATATATTATATTATTGTGTGTGTATTTCGGCAAGCATGTATAATGGTATATACATCTACATATAAAAAATGATTTACTTAATATGGCGATGTTCCATACTTGGCATAATACTAAGTAATATTGTTTTAAATATCTTGAATTTATTTTGTGTAGATGGAGCTTGCACATCGTAGATGGATGTATAATTGAACTTATCCTAATCGTAGTGGGTTGAGGGAGGATTTATAGAAGGGGTTGCTGAATTTATGGCTAAAGCGAAAACACTTCATGAATTTCTCAGTGAAGGGGTGATTAGGTGCCATTGAGTGAAATTCAAGTGTGGAAAGTTATTGCGACCCGATGTTGTTAAAATTCATCTTTATAAAAAAGGGTTTATGGAAAATTATTATGTGTGGACTATTCATGGAGATGATGTTGCTAGTGTTGGTGATGTCGATTTTCAATTTTTTTTTGATAGTGAGGGTAGTCCTTTAGCAGAGAATAATGTTGAATATTCTCGATTCAATGAAATAGTTAGGGATGCTTTTGTGATGCACCCGGGGGCTCAGTCTGAACCAAATAATGATGCTAAGTGCTTCATGAACAGTTACAGGAAGCTAGTCGTCCATTGCATGAAGGCTCAATGCATTCTAAGTTTTCTGTAGCGGTTAGATTATTAAGTATTAAATCGGATTCGAGTATTTCCCAAGAGGGCATGGACTCTATCATTGGCCTTATGAATGAACTTAAACCGAATAGACCTACCCAAAGATTTCTACACAGAAAAGTAACTGGTTTCTAAGTTAGGACTTTCATCAGAGAGAATTGACTGTTGTGAGAAAGGTTGCATGTTATTCTATAAGGATGATGCAACTTTAGAAAATTGTAAATTTAGTAACCAAACTCGTTACAAGGAAGTCACAAATTCCAAAAAGAAGAATAAGGTTCGAGTAAAGGCGATGCATTACTTACCCTTTATACCTAGGCTAAAAAGGTTGTATGCATCAATGAGCTCCGCTCCTCATATGAGATGGCAATATGAAAATAGATGGCCACCCGATATTTTATGTCATCCGTCAAATGGAGAAGCATGGAAGCATTTTGATAGAGTGTTATCGGATTTTGCTAATGAACCAAGAAATATTAGGTTGGGTTTATGTGCAGATGGATTCACTCCATTTTCTGTCTCGGCTACATTATATTCATGTTGGCCGGTGTTTGTTACTCCGTATAATCTTCCTCCTGAGTTGTGTATGACAAGTCCATATTTGTTCCTAACCTGTATTGTTCCAGGTCCACGCAATCTGAAAAGTTTGATTGATGTATACATTCAACCTTTAATTGATGAGTTAAAGTTATTGTGGTATGAAGGTGTAGAAATATATGATATGTCAACTAAACAAAACTTCAGATTGCGTGCTGCTTTGATGTGGACTATAAATAATTTTTCTGCCTATGGAATGTTGTCTGGATGGTAGACTGCGGGAAAGTTATCCCAACTTGTATGGAAGACACAAAAGCATTCACGTTGAAACATGGAGGAAAGAACACATGGTTTGATTTCCACCGTCGATTCCTGCCTAGGAATCACGAGTTTAGGAAAAATACTAGTGCATTCATGAAGAACCAAACAAATTTTGAGGAGCCACCGTCACCATTGTCACCAGAAGAAATTTGGAACAGAGTTAGGTCTCTATCTAAGGTAACTGAGTCTCCAATGTCTAATAAGATACCTGTTTATGGTGTTACCCATAATTGGACTAAACAGAGCATATTTTGGGAGTTACCTTATTGGAAGCATAACCTTCTTCGGCATAATCTGGATGTCATGCATATTGAGAATAACTTTTTTGACAACGTATTTAATGCTATAATGGATATCAATAACAAGACAAAAGATAACTTGAAGGCTAGGATGGACTTAAAGGAATATTGTAGGCGAAGTGAGTTGTACCTGACATACTTGAACAACAAGATTCAGAAGCCCAAGGCTAGTTACACATTCACTTTGGATGAGAGAAGAGATATTTGTGATTGGGTTAAGAATTTAAGGATGCCTGATGGATATGCGTCAAACTTATCTAGGTGTGTTGACATGAAAGAAGGGAAGTTGACGTCTATGAAGAGCCACGATTGTCATATTTTCCTTGAATCATTGACGACTATTACATTGACGACTATTACATTCAAAGCGTTGCCTAAATATGCAAATCCATTACTGAGATGTGTTTATTTTTCAAGGAGTTGTGTTCTAGCACATTGAAGGTGGAGAACCTAGCTTACATGGAGAGTAACATTTGCTTAACTTTAAACAAGCTGGCAAAAAAATTTCCTCTTGGTTTTATTGATGTAATGGAACATCTTCCAATTCATCTTGTGCAAGAGGCACGACTTGGAGGGCCTGGTTCAGTGTAGATGGATGTATCTTTACGAGAGGTAATGACTTTAAACTATTTTCCCTTGATGTGTTTTAATTAAACATTAATTCATCTAAAAATTATGATATGCAGGACTATTGAAAAATATAAGCGGAACGTGAAAAATAGATCCAGGATTGAGGGATCGATATGTGAGGCACATCTGGCTAAAGAAACTTCTTTTTTCTGTTCATATTATTTTGAACATGATGTGCCATGTTTGAGAAATAGGCCAAATCGGCATGATGATGGAGGTGTTACTGATCCTTTGGCACCACTATTTTCCATATTCAATCAACCAGGTAGAGGTCCAAAAACTAGTAAAAGTGAAGTTTGACTGAGATGGAGAAAAAGTCCGCTACAACACATGTCTTGTTGAATTCTCCGGAGGTCCAACCCTATTATAAGTAAGTCTTAATTTCTATTAAACACGATTATCACAAGATCAAAGTTATTTTAACTAACAAAAGTTGTAATTTTGTCGGGCAATTACTTTATAGGTGTAAATGGGCATGATACTATTTATCCAAGATTTTCAGAGTGGTTTAAGGAGTTTGTAAGTTTTATTTTGTGGCTACAAATTAAGAACACGTATATATATTTCAAATTCTAACTTTTCTTTAACTCTATATAGGTTCATAATCCAGTCAATGCCATAAATGACCTATTTTTGCAAAATATAGCTTGGGTACCTGATCATAAAGTCAAAATGATGTCTAAGTACTTTGTCAACGGGTACAAGTTTCATACAGAAGAATGGTCTAAGAATAAGAAAACCAATAATAGTGGGGTGTGGGTAAAGGGTGATGGAGATGTTGATTATTATGGTGTGCTCCAAGAGATTTTAGAACTAGAGTATTTTGGTTGGCCGAAAAAAAAATTGGTACTCTTTCGGTGTAAGTGGTATGATCCAACACCAACTAGAGGTACAAAGGTTCACCCTCAGTATAAATTAGTTGAAATTAACCACACGAAGGAGTATGGATTCTATGATCCATTTATCATTGCACAAAATGTGAAACAATTGTATTCTATTCCTTATCCTTTGTGCAAAAATAAGTCCACATGGCGGATAGTTATAAAAATAAAGCACGATATAGAATAGAAGTTGAGAATGCATTAGAAGTCGCGTACCAGAATGACATTTCAAGTGTTCAAGAAAGGGTTGATGATGAATTATTGGGTGAATTGCAGCATAGTAAAGGCATCTATGGAGAATATGATCCTTCGGTCCTTACTCGTAGATCAAATCAACACGATTTTGAGGAAGGAACATACCGGGCAAACAGGGAGGAAGATCCCGCCGATGAACATGAAACAAGCGAGGAAGAATCATTGGATGAACATGAAACAAGCGATGAGGAAGAATTACTTGATGAAAATGAAACAAGCGATGAAGAAGAACTAAATGATGAATATCAATCAAGCGAAGAGGATTGACATGTTGGCTTTTATGTGTTTTCGTTATTTATTTATTAAGCTGAAGAATTTTTTTACATTTTTTTTATGTCTTAACATATTTCATCTAATGTTTTTAATATACTTATGTTACACATATGGCGCCGGGTAAAAACAAGAAGATAAGACATGCTTCCCAGCTTCCTCAGCACACTTCAGGTCCCACTAGCTCGTCTGTGCCATTTATGAGTCATCCTCCTCCTCCTCCGCCTCTCAGCAGACTTCACTGCCACCCGACTTCTTCACTTTGCCCCTTTGTGATCAAGTTAAATATAAGCCTATCTCTAATTTCCAGAGCATGCACACTATACCATCTTCTTCGACAGCTTATCGTAGTAGTTAACATGGTGGCTCCTTATCTATGCCTCCGTCATCATTCACTCCATCACCATGCTACCATGTTAGTTAGAATGGCGGTCCCGCATCTGTGGCTCCATCTTCATCTCCATCATCATCCACTCCTAGTGTTTCTAGGCCGCATGTTGGAGGCTCTACCATACAGTCATCCCCATCCATTGATACATCTACACCTGCTCCTGATGATACACAGACTCAAACTTTTGAAGAGGTTGTATCATATGATGATCTTCATAGACTGATTATCATTCCTGATGGGACTACTGAGTAAGCAATTACTTTATCATTCGTTTGAATTGTTGAATATATTTTAGACATATGTTAATTTTAATGCAGGTTTGTTCCCTCCAATGAATCTAAGGAGGTGGTTGTGGATTGTGTTAAAGCATTTTACCGAGATGCTTGGAGTAAATGGTCAGATATACCGTATATTTACAGAGATCAGATGTGGAATCAATTTAGGGTACAAAATCAATAAATTTTATATTATTTATCAAATTACCCTTATTTCATCTAATGTTTTCAATTATTTGCAGACAAGGTGTGCATGGCATCCCAAATACTATCAGCAAATAAGTCATAATTTCGAGAAAAAAGGTGTTGATAGGCTTAAGAATCTCCTCTATAAAGCTCTGTTTGATGGAAAGATGCCCGGTTGGATACTAAAAGACGTATGGGAAAAACTTAATGTGATATGGGCTTCTCCAGAATTTAAGAAGAGGAGCAGTGCCGGAAAGGCTTCCCGAGCCTCCAATATGGGTGGCTCATTGCACACTTGGGGTTCAGTTAGTATGGAGACCTATCGAAGGAGAATTGTAACTTTCTTATTATATTTTCTTTGATTTTACAAATTGAGAGATATTAACAAATCAATGTGTAGTTTATTCTATAATAGTTATTCAAGAACAACTGAGGGCCTTTTCTATTTCTCCTTTCTGTGTCCTCTTTCTTCTTTCACATATATTGTTGTTATACAGTTGTCACTTTTTTTTTTTGCAGAATTTCATGGTTTATCCTATCAGAATTATTTTAAAGGAAGATCTTCATAAGGTTTTGATATCAGACTTCTTATCTTATAAATGGATCTGTTTCTTATTTTAGTAAAAAGAGAGCCATGTATATTATGGCCAAGATTTTGTTCCAAGGATTTCTCTGTATGGGTTATTTGGCCAAGTTAAACTCTTAAAATAAGTTCTAATTTACTGAATCGTGTATTTATGCTCTTAACTTTTGATTACAGTGAATGAAACATAGACAAAATAACTTTTGTAATTGCTTAGCTTTAGATGTTAACTATAGTAATGTGTCTCTTATTTCTGAACTTTACAGAATAGCTTCTGTAAAACTTTACAAAAAGCTTTTAGGAGAACTTCCAAGGTGTTGATTATGAACTTTATCTAACTTTACTTTCTTTTTTTGCAGAAAAAGGAAAAAGGGAGACTTGTGACTTATGCTGAGGTCTTTGAGGACAAACATATGAAAAAGAAAAAGGATGGTACAAGAGAATGGGTCGATCCGCGTGCTTCTACAACATATGTAAGATCCTAAGAACAAGATTCTCTAGTTTCTTCTTTTGGTTTTGCATTGGGTAACACTTAGTCTGATTCTTACAATATTAACACAAGAAACTCTTGTGAGTTAAACTATTAGTAATCAATGAATTGAACATCTTTCAGTTGGTATTTGCTTAAGTATTTCCTTAAAATTTGTGTGAGATAGCAAGTGTATGATTGCATGAGCAAATAAGAAATTATAGACATACACATGAATAATTTGCCAAATAGAGATCTCAAAACAGTACTAGAGAAGTGAGTAATGGTGGAAGAAAGTATTATCGAACAGAAATCTAGAGTTCAATTGTTGAAGTTGGGGGATGCCAACATAGTAAATGTCTTTGTCGATATAAAGAATACAAGTATTCAAAGTTAATATGTAGGATTTGTCAATGATATGGGTGAAACAGTATACAATGAGGAATGCATCTCAGAGGATAAAAACTAATTCTTCTAGACTACATAGATTACTGGCAGGGGGCTCTAAAATTCTTTCACTAAATATCTTGTGAACAACTGATTAAATTTCCTATCACAATGGCTTATAGGCTATTTTGGTAGCTCGTGCTGTAGCATTATTTGCATATCCTAAGTGGTAAAAACATAATGAAGCTCTAAGATCTACCCTCAACTATTGCCATTATAGTCTTATTCCATTTTACAATGAATTGGGCAAGGTTTGGATCTAGCTCCAAGGAAAACAATCCTGATGCTGGATCACTCGAATTCTTCCATGAAACCAGAACATGTTTCCTTTGTGTAATTTTGTTATATCCAAGCTTAGCACCAGGTAAAAATATATCTGTTGGGTGATCAAAACTTTGCCAAAGTGTTAAGGGTGTCTGTTAGAAATATGCTTTAGAAGCTGCTCTCAGTAAAATTATTTTACTGTTTCAGCTATTTACTGCAGTAATTTAGTTTGAATTTGAAATAATTTTGAACTAGTCTTTAAGAGTGAACTAGTCTCTAGGAGTTAGTTATTTTCAGCATATTTTGTGCTGATTTTTAGGTCTTTTAAGTTAGTATTTCTGTTATAAATTGTAGTCCAAATGCAGTAAAATAATATAGTATTTTCAGCTTTAGTTCCTTTTACATCTATTCCAGTATACTTTTTTATTTTCTTGTCATCTTTCCAGTTATTTTCCTTAATTTTTTTTTTATCAAGAACCAACAATTGGTATCAAGAGCCATTTTCTTAAGTGACCTAAGTAAAATCTTTTCTTGAGTGAGATGGAGACTGAAATGAGTTTTTCTCAATTGGCTCCTCCAGTCTTTGATGGTGAAAATTACCAACTGTGGGCAGTGAGAATGGAGACTTACTTGGAGGCTTTAGATCTTTGGGAGGCCGTGGAAGAGGATTATGATGTTCTTCCGCTGCCTAACAATCCCACAGTGGCCCAGATCAAGAGTCACAAGGAAAAGAAAATCAGGAAATCAAAGGCGAAAGCAACTTTGTTTGCTGGTGTGTCTGCAACAATTTTCACGAGAGTTATGGCTCTCAAATCAGCAAAAGAAATCTGGGATTATCTGAAGGGAGAATATACAGGAGATGAAAGAATACGAGGAATGAAGGTGTTGAATTTAATAAGGGAATTCGAGTTGTAGAAAGTGAAGGAATCTGAGACTGTCAAAGAATACTCAGATCGGTTGCTTGGCATTGTTAACAAGGTAAGATTGCTTGGTACTAAATTTAAAGATTCAAGAATTGTTGAAAAAATTCTTGTTATGGTGTCTGAAAAATATGAAGTATCCATAACTACCTTGGAAAATACAAAGGATCTATCCAAGATTACTTGGCAGAATTGTTAAATATATTGCAGGCACAAGAGCAAAGGAGGCTTATGAGGCAAGATGGTATGGTTGAAGGAGCCCTGGCAGCCAACCACAAAACTCAAAGCAAGGGTAATAATGTTAAAAAAAATTACCCGCCTTGTCAGCACTGTAATTTGCAAAGGCAAATATCAAAAGCATGAAGCAGATGCCCAAGTCGCCAATGAAGAAGAAGAAGATCACTTGTTTGTGGCAACTATTCTTTCAACCAAAAAATCTGATTTTTGGTTGATTGACAGTGGTTGTACAAACCACATGACATATGACAGAAATCTTTTCAAAGAGTTCACGTCTATAGGAAATAAGAAAGTCAGAACTGGAAATGGTGATTATATTCTTGCTAAAGGAAAAGGAACTGTTGCAATCCCAACAAATTCAAGTACCAAGAAAATTTCAGATGTTCTTTATGTTCCTAATATTGATCAAAATTTATTAAGTGTTGGACAACTAATGGAAAAAGGATTTAAGTATCCTTTGAAGATAAATATTGTTTCATTTATGATGCAACTGGACTTGAGATTTTAAGGGTTAAAATGAGAGGTAAAAATTTCTCATTTGATCCAACCGAAGATGAAGAATGGAGCCAAAAGAATCTACTAAGTGCAGGTAATTCTCCAACTGAGGACATATGTGAAAATAAGGTAAGGAAGAAGTTGTCAATATTTCAGAAAATGCAATTTTGGAAGAAAGTTGACAAGTCTCAAGGCAAGATGCAAATGAAGCTGAAAAACGAGCCAACTTATTTCATTAACAATCATGAGATGCAGCAAAATACAGAAGTGAACTCGATTCACTGTAAGTCCAAAGATCAGTTGGCAGATTTACGTACAAAGTCGCTTCAAGTTAAAGGTTTACAAGGGACAAATTCAGAATTTGCAGCTTCAAAAGCAAGGAGGAGTGTTAGAAATATGCTTTAGAAGCTGCTCTCAGTAAAATTATTTTACTGTTTCAGTTATTTACTGCAGTAATGTAGTTTGAATTTGAAATAATTTTGAACTAGTCTTTAGGAGTGAACTAGTCTCTAGGAGTTAGTTATTTTCAACATATTTTGTGCTGATTTTTAGGTCTTTTAAGTTAGTATTTCTGTTATAAATTGTAGTCCAAATGCAGTAAAATAATATAGTATTTTCAGCTTCAGTTCCTTTTACATCTATTCCAGTATACTTTTTTATTTTCTTGTCATCTTCCCAGTTATTTCCCTTAATTTCTTTTATCAAGAACCAACAGTGTCGATGTATTTGAAGCATCACTCAAAATCAAATTGTCATCATCACCTAGAAGTGCTATGGCTGAATTATTTCGAGTGTCGTTATAATGGTCATGTGTTGATGACCATATTGAGTTTTGATTTTTATCAAGAAGTACCAAGTTGCCTTGAATAAATGTCAACACAGGTAAACTCATATTACTATCTAATATATCAACTGATTTCTCTCTATTTGCTACCCAAACAACAGTTTGTGGATAAATTTTCTTGTACCATATGCCTATATAATAGTTGAGAGAGTTACCTGGTTTGAAGAAACCAAGCTCAAAGTTTCCACCTGAAGATACAATTGCTTGGCGAATGCAAAGAAATTCATTAATAGAAATGTTGTCCTCTGATCCAAAGGAGAGATTAGTGTTGAGATTGAAGCATAAAAAGTGCAGAAAGAGTATTAGAAATGAATTGTTGTTCTTCATTTTCATGGTGCAGAAATGTTATCCCCTTGCTTGCAATTAGTAGTAAACAACTACTAATTTCTTCCTAGTCTGCTTCTTCTTTCAGTTGGTATAACATTGGTGCTTCACACTGTTAGTATAACATAATATAATACTTAATATTTTAATTTCAGGAAGCCTATCAAAACCGTTTGGAGGAATGACGTCAAAGTCAACTCGATTCTAAGGATGGTAGATCAACTCACGTGTCACTCAATGATGTAGCTTCAATATGGACACAAGTGGTTGGTAGCAAAAAAGAAAGGTAGAATCTATGGTCTTGGATCACAACATTCCGTAGGTCGTTCTACGACATTATTGTCTGGTGATGCGCAAGTTATTCGAAGAATCACGAAGATGTGGAAGCATTATGAAAAGAAGTTGAAGAGTTGAAGGAGGAACGTAAATTAGATCGCGCAAATTTTAACAAATTGCAGAGCCTAGTGGAGAAATTTATGAGTGGACGTCCATTTGATCCTTCGAATGGCGAGGATGGCGGTGATAATGAGTTTTAGTTTGTTGTGGTAGATGTTTGAAATATTATTATTTGTTGTGGTTGGATGTTTAGACATGGTAATGTTTACACTTGACTATGATTGTAATATTTAAGACTAGATTGAATGGTGCTTGAATGTTTAACTCTTTTTGGATGTTTTAGTTACAAATATTTATATTTTCTATAGTTATTTGCATTTTATGGATTTGATTCGGTGGCATGGTGGATTGATTGGTTGTCATGGTGGATTAATTATTTAATTAGTTACTGTATATTTGAATTGGCAGGTGGTTCTGCTTTAGAAGAGCTGAAATCTGCCAAAAAAATTCTAGTTTTTGACTGATTTCCGACCACAGTAGCCGCAAAGTGCTTAAAAATTATCTAGATTCAAGAACATTTGCGATCACTATAGTGAGAAAATTAAATAAAAAAATATTATTAAATTAGATCTGCGTCCACAGCAGTGAGAAATTTAAATAAACATATAATTTTAAATTATTTTACGACTACAGTAGTGAAAAAACATAAATAAAATAAAAATACTTTATATTATTAATGATTACTCCGATGAGAAAGATTAAATAAAATTATAGTATATATATATATATATATATATATATATATATATATATATATATATATATATATATATATATATATATATATATATATATATATATATATAT